GTATAGTTTACTTTTGTTTAATAAAGCGCACATAACTAGCCTGACAGCGGGTTAAAAAAAAAAAAAAAAAAAAAAGATATATATATCTTAATATAAGAAAATCTACTAGAAGAACATGAGAATTAAAAATTCTCAATTTCAAGATAGTACTTAAAAAAAGGATCAAAAAAGTGATTTGAATGATCAAAACCCTTTTACAATTCAAAATGATAAAATAAATTATAAAAATATTAAAATCCAAAAAAAAACTATTATTAAAAAAAATATTAAAGAAGAAGTATATTAAAATTATCTAATAGAAATATTCCAATACAACCTTGGATTCAAAGAAAAATTAATCTTCTATTTCAATAAATTACTCATTAATTATTAAAAAAAAAAATAAAAATAAGAGTGGCTTGGATTCAAATAGAAAAGGTAGAAAGAAAAACCAAATTTCAAATAGAAGTAAATACAGTAACCGGTACTCTTCTATAAAGACTAAATTGATAACATTATAATAATACTTCTAGTAGTTTCTATTAATAATACAGTTGAGATTTGTAATAGTCAAATATATATTTTTAAATAAAAGACAATAAAAACAGAGAACTCAATGAGAATATATAAAAGATGATCAAAAAAAAAATTGACCTCTTTAAATATAAATGGTAGAGCTAATAAAGAAAAAAAATATAAACTTGAAACTTATCAAAGTTAAAATATACTTTAATAATTCTTATAATAAAAATACAGATGTTTTTACTAAAAAAATTCTAAAACTCCTATTAATTGAATAAAAAGATCTTATTTTATACAAAATTATTACAAAAATTAAGTAATAAAATAAAACTTTAAATAATCTAATCAAACAGTTTATCAAAAATATTAATAACAAATAATAGTTTATCAGTTGATATAGTAAACAAAATAAAGAAAAAATAGAGTCATCAAATTTAAAATCATTCAGTTCATATATGAAATCTAATATGAGAAAGAATTAAAGATAAGTATATGTAAAGATAATCCCTAAAAAAGGAAATAAGAATAAAAATCAAATATCCCTTACTAAAAAATATTAAAAATTAAATTAATAACTATAATAAAACTATTCAGAATAGTTTTATATTATCAAAACTTATGGTTTATAATATTTCCAGAATTTTGTTTCTGTTAAAGTGAAGAGTTATAAATTTTGTTTCTTAAAAAGAAATATAAGTAATCTATGGAATTTTATATACTTTAGATATATATAAAATATATTCTTTAAAAATCTCAACAAAGAAGTTTTCTTATTAAACTAATTAATGATAAGCTATCAATATTAAGTAAATTGGCTATAAGAAGACTTGACCTATACAAGTAAGTGAAATGTATTATGTGTAACCAACAATAGAACTCTTGTTGAAATACTATCTATAAGGATCAAATATAAGTAACATGAAATAAAGAAGTAGATGTGATTATTAAAAACTTTAAAGAACTTCTATAGAAAAAAAAGAGTAGCAGAAAAAAAAAGTATCAAGTTAATTATTAATGATCAGGAAGAATTAGAAGAGCTTAACAAGTAAATTTTTAAACTAGTATAACAAACTTTTAAAACCAGTTAAAATACTCTAAGTTTTTATATCTACCTTATAAGAAATAATCTTATTTGAGAAATAATAAATAAAATATTATGGAAAATGTATAGAAAGAGAAGTAAGAAAATGAATATTAAAGATACAAAAAAGAGTTTGCAATCAAATTTAAAAAAAAATCTAAAATAAGAAACATGAGAAGATAATTAAATGAGAATAGATATATAATATTGATAGATTAAATAAGATAAAAAGATCTTTAGGTTTATTAGATCAGAAAACTATATTTTTAAAAGAAAAAAATATTATCAAAAGAAAAAAATTTAAAAGATGAAAGCCTCCAAGAAATTCTAACAAAAAGAGTAAAATATGAAATGAAGTGGTTAGGTTTTGAGCTCTATCAAACCATCACAAAGTAATCTATAATAATGACCTACAGGTAATGAAGTTAGCAATTGAAAGAATCTTTACCTAAACTATTAATAGAGCAATAAATCTCTGAAGTTGCACTTAGAGTTTTGGTAAATTTCAAAATAGAGATGAGTTAATTAGGTAGAGATTTAACTTTAGCAATACATTTTTCAACATAAAATATAATTAAAAAAAAAAAAGGCATGTGTTGAAATAGTTATTATTAGACATATTGCACAAAAGAAAATGAACTCAATAAAGAAGACACTTACCGTTGTCAAATCAATCACCATGCCTCTCTGCCTTTCTAAGTGCTTCTTGAAAGAGACATTCCTTTCTTTTGTTGGTTATGATCACGTGATCCACCAGAGATTAGCGACGTGCTCGCCGGTTTAGCCTCCAACATTATATTTTTTTTGAAATGAATATTGATTAAATAATATACAAATGGCACGTAATTTAATTTTTATTCAACAATGGAACAAATATGTGACTGTAATCTTTGATGGCTGTTTATTATTCGAAAAAAAAATACATGGAATTCTATATTATTAACAAAAATTACAATTATTCATTCATGCTTCTATAAATACTTGAGACAGTTTCCGCGTTGAATATAAATTTCTTTAGTAGTGTAAACATATACTTTTCCAGTTGACACCCCGACAGACATGAATTGTAGATCTAAAAATAACGATTTATAATAAGACATTTATTCAAAATAGGTTAAATTAAATTACAAGGTCTTACCGGGAGAAATCCTGATAGAGGTAACCGGGCTATCGTGATTCTCAAATCTATAAAGCAACGGGGTATTCTTAATAGCTGCATCAACATTCCATACGCGAACAGTCGAGTCGTTTCCGCCACTCAACAAAATACTACTATCCGGAATCCATTGCAAAGACATGACACCATCATGAGGTAGACCATCTTTAGGATCTAATATTGACATAAAATACAAATTAATGTTAATAGAATAGTCCTTAAGAAAAACTATGTCTAAAGTTTAATTAAAGCAATAAACTAACCATCGTGTTCCAACGAATGAAGGCATTTTTTCATATTCCTTCTATCAAACACATAAACTGTGTTTGATATACCGCCAAGCGCAATGTATCTGTCATTAGGTGATATCGATATCACATTGGCGTCTTTTTCTTTCGTAATACCGATCGTTGTCTTCCTTGATTTAAGGTCCCATATGTGCATTTTACCATCTCCCTCAAGCTCTCCTGTGCAAGCTGTTGTTCCACATGCCACCCATTGTCCTATTTGATAGAATAATAATAAAAATAATTGCTTAAATATAAAAATATTATTGAATAGTCAAAAAATTCATCCGACTCACCATCACGAGAAATATCCAAACAACTGACACTACTTGGAATTAAAATTGAACTTTTACACGCTCTCTTTCTACTTTTTATATCCCATACTTTAATTTCACCTTTACGGTTTATTATAGACCCGATATATCCTGAAATAACATTATTGTCTATACCAAACACGACGTCACTTGACACTTTCCGAAGATCACTATTTCTCCATTTTTCTTCAATACATTCTATTGATGTCATGTTGTATTCTCCATATTTATCTTTTCTGATGGAATGAACTTGAACCATGCTAAATAACAAGGTGGTTAGATTACCATCGTCATATTTGAGAATATAAGCATCACATAAGAATCTTGCTCACCCCGAATCTTCACATGATGCAAACTGGTATAACGATCCATGCTCCGGTCTTTGGGATACTGAAATCCTATGTACCTTTGATTTGCACACTTTATAAATAAAGTAACAATTATTTTCATATCCCTCAAAAATTAATATTGAAGAAATATTTATAAAGACCTTTTGTATTAAATGGATTTTGAAAATTATGATAAAAATCCCAAGCTTTCCATATCTAGCAACAACAAAAAAATCAGTATTTGCATATTTCTTTTTCCTATTAATAAATGCTTAATTAATATTCAAACCTTTATAGAGCAATCAGTTGATGCAGAAAAGACGAATTTTCCATCGGGAGAGAATTTTACGTCAGTTACGGTTGTCCATAGATCTAAGAAGAAGTAATTTTAATAATTCACCCTAAAGATCCACATAAAACTATTATACATATTAAAATTTCACCTTGTTTGGTTACCACATCTTCTTCGAGATGACCATATAGGTTATATACTGAGCCTAAAAGTCGCACATTAATACAGTTTAATTGAGGAGATAATAAAGTCAATTTGCTTTAAAAATATCATTACCATTTAAGACATCACAAAATTGCAAATTCCCCATGGAATTATAATTTGGATCAGAATTTGCAATATATGCAATTGCTATTTTAGGTCTGTTAAGGACAAAGTAAATATTATTAAAGATATAATCTTGACAATAAAGAGATCCAAATAATTATACAAACTCTTCAGGATCGCTATAATCGAGAGCAGTCTCGTTAACATCACCACTGCCACATTTGAAGTTGAATGATTTCAACTGTTTAAAAAGCTCCAATATTCCCTCTTCTTTTCCATGTGTGTCAACCTAAATTTATTTAATGGAGAAATGTATGTTATACACACTTACGATATTGACTAAAAGAATATAAGCGTGACTCTACCTGTGCATAGTCATTATTTGACGAAAACCCTTGACCAACATCCGGTTGTGGTGAATCATCATCAGAATCTAATGTTAAATTGTTTTCCACCAAGTAGGTCATCAATAATGCCATTTCATCAATGTCTTTGGGTAAATCCTCCTTCTATCGTTATCAAAATAAACAATCAGATTGCGTTTCCCTATTAAAGTAATAGAATTATTTAATTGTTATTACCAAATAATTATGC